ACAGTGCATAAATCCAAGGAGAAGATGCTGTTAATCTCCATCGACAGTACACAGACCACAGACTGAAGTTTTACTTCTCCTTTCTACTCTCTCGTATCACTTATTTTTAGCAGCTCTTGAACAAGACTAGTGGCTTGAACTAGGGGGGGGGGGGGGGAATAATTCCTTAAAAAGCCTTTGGGTTTGAATTGGGGGGGGGGGGGAGAGAATCACTGCTTTAATCTGAGCCCTAAAAATACTTGGCAGGTTCAAAGTTATAAAAGTTAAAAAGAATGAAAAAAAAATGTGTATCTCAGGGAGCTCTGCATGTGCAAATGTCAAGTGTTTCTCTGAAAATCAGATAATTCCACTTTTCAGATGAGAGTGAGCAACTCAGCCCAGCCAGCTGACAGCACGTCGGCAGGAGATAAAAGGGAACGGCGCGATGCGGAGGCTCCTCTTACGGCCAGCGCACCGCAGTCCCAGCGCGGGGAACAGCACCGAAGACAGAGACCTGGAAACGACGCTGACCTACACACACTGTCCTGGAAGCAGTGCTACTCCCAGGAGTCAAAGCAAGGTTTTATTTCCTCCAGCCCGCCAGTTACTCAGACACCTTGCACGTAAGCCCGAAGGTGATTGCCAAGCCCCTTCACCCCGCTAAATGACTATTGCTGCCCCAAAAATCTGGGTGGCATCCCACCCAAGGAGGCAGTTCTGGGCAGCTTTGGGATTTTACCGCTGTCCAAGTGCTTTGCAAAGCTGGTGTCCCTCAACCTGGCCGTGTGAGACAGAAGCTATTCCTAAAACCCGCAGCTTGGAGCCTGTCCCAAGATCAGCAGCACACATTGCACAGTGACGGTATGTGACATGAGTAAGAGAAGGGAAGGAAATGGAGTTATTTCTCTGGTTTCTCTTCCCAGCTCCCAAGCCGGACGCAGGTTACACAAGCCCCACATTCCACTCCTCCCGACTCCTCCGTTCCACCTGCAATCCTGCCCTGCCGCAGCCCCAAAGTTTCCTCCGTCTCCCTTGCCCTCCATTACTCACCGAAAGCAGCTGGATTTACCGGTCTCGAGAAGTGCGGCTGCCCCATTAGATTCTTTTCTAAGCAGCTCCCCAGGAGGAGGCGGGAGGGGGAAGAGAGGGAAAAAAAGTCTACCCTGAGAGAGCACTTTAGTCCTTTAAAATGATAAATCCACGCTTCGGACCGGGAAAAAGCCTGGCAAGCGAGACAGCTCCCAACTCTCAAGCAACGGCACGGGTGTCAGATGGTCCAGCGCAGGTCCTGTTCTCCCCGTACCCCATGGTCGGGCACTTGATTCTCAGAAATAGGCG